CTGACGCGGAAGCATCAGCGGAAGCGTTCAGCCCTTCTCGTGTGAAGACCAACGAGGGTAAAGACCTGCGACTTCACCGAGCTACGACCTCGCATCACACTTAAGTATTTTTTTTCTTCTCTTTACACACTCTCCTTAACTGTCCTCACTTTTCCATTTCTATCATGTGTTTCCAAAACATTCCGCCTGTCTCTCGACAACGCTCTAACATCACACGCAGACGCCAACGCAATCTTGCTAACCTGCATTCTATCTCTACATCCTCTACTGCACCTTTCTTTCTCTGTGGGTCTCTGGTATTGTCAAGTCAGCTGTCAACAAAGCAGACTTCATTTCGGCTTTTTCTTTACAATCCACACTCAGCATCTTGGGCTTGACTGAGACCTGGATTCGTCCAGAAGACTCAGCAACCCCAGCTGCTCTAGCTAACAATTTCTTTCTCTCACACCCCCACCGTCAGGTTGGCCGGGGTGGGGGCACTGGTCTGCTCTTTTCTAACAATTGGAAATACTCAACCCACTCTCCCCTATGCAATTATACCTCATTTGAATATCATGCAATTACTGTAACAGCTCCTAGAAAACTCCAGGTTGTGGTAATCTACCGCCCAGCATCGAACCAAACTCAGAGTAGCAGAGAGAAAATGGCACAAATCAAAAGAGCCATCAGACCTGAGAAAGTATCAGTCTTTGCTTTCATCTTTCTCTGCTGAAGTCCATACTGCGTGTCTGTTTGCCTCTTTAAGAAGAATCGCTTTATGTATTCCCTAATTTTGTCGGCAAAATGACTAAATGTAAATGTAAATGTTCTGGTTATTTTGTTTCAGTGTACAGTTTGTTAATTTTGTGCAAAGCATAGGCCTATAGTCAAAGTAAACTTCATCATTCAGCTGAACTGTGCACATTTATTAGACACTTCATGTCTTGTTCAATTCATGCGATAAACGCATGTCCCGGTTATAGCTGTGGGCTATGACTAATTTCACGGGGCAAAGCAGACAAAATGACAATTTATGTATCGTCTTTTCTTTTTTTTTTTTTTTACAAATAAAACTTCATATTATGAGAAGGATACTTTCTACGACCTTTATCCTGCAGTCATGGTGAGATTATAGGTTCCTTCAATCTAAACAAACCAGAATCGAAAACAACAGTGAAGAATGGATTCTTGGAATCGATTCCAGAACCAGGAATCAGAATCGGACTCGATTCCGAACAGCCCTTTTTGCTGCCTCCAGCTAGCGCTGTGATGTCGGCTGACCCTAGTTACCTGTGGTTGGCCTGGTTGTGTGTCACTCAGAAAACAACAGGCCAATCAGAAGAGAGGCTCATGAATATTAATTAGACAGGCCAAAATCTACCTGTTCTCAGCAGAGCTCCTGAGAGAGAAACCTAAAATAAAACTCCAGAAAGGTGTAACATATGTGACCTTTAAAGCTACAAAAGTTATTGATTTCCTCTTTTTTTCTTTTGTTCTTTAATAAACAGACATCACAGCAGCTGGTTATGATGTTATTTGGCTGCTATTACTTTAAGAGCTGCCGCTGCTGAATGTGACGCAGATCTGACAAGCATGCTTGTAGTTTCATTCACGCTTTAATATGAAAGGAAACAGGCTACAGTGTGTGCCGCCGTATTTGTGCGTGTGATTGTAGAGCACGTGTTACAAGCACAGTATAACAGCTGACAGGACAGGAAAATGTGTTTTTACTGACATATAGCCTGACAACCTCTCATCCTACCACAGTTCACTGATGTTCTGCTGAAGCTCCTCGTCACCTCGTTACTGTTTCCACGCTCGTTGACTCTCACCTGGCGCTGAGGTGAAGTTGAGTGTGCATCTGAAAAGTCTCCTGTTTGATGTGGTCGCAAAGATATTCTGCATCTAAATAAATGCAATTCTTGTCAAGAAACAAAAAAGGAGACCGAAGCTGCAGTTGTGAGTGGGGTGGCCAACCCAAGCTCCGGCCCTGCGTTAAATATTTTTAATGCCATTAAACTTGAAAAATTAATCGCATGCATTAACACGCTAATTTTGACAGCACTAGCTTTAAATTTTGTCAGATAACAATGTGAGCGTTGATGCATGTCATTTGCTGCAGATGCACTACTCACTGTAAAACACTAAAAAAATAGCATTGTTAGTGGGTATTTTATAATCTAGATGGAAAAAAAAATCATTTTGCTAACATGTCATTTAAAATGGATTAAATGTTTTGTTACTTTCTGAAAAATTTCAGTAAACTAGTTCATTCAGTAGCCTAATAAACACCTAACCTTATACTTACAATTAAATAGACTCTCCTGTCATCTGGATTATAAAGTACCTGATAACTGCTATTTTTAGAGTTATAAAGTGAAAAAGTATAATAAAGTGTACTTATTTTCCACAAGAGATAATAATAATAATAATAATACATTACTAAAATCTTTCACAACTTCTGTTTCATGCCTACTTTAAAGTTAACAGCCAGTTTGCCAGTAAAACCTATTTTACTTCCTCACTAAAGTCAGTATTTACTCGCATGTGTTAACTGTGGACCTGGTCTGAAGTATCTTGAAGATACATCGCATAAAGAAGGAAATGGGGTCACCTGGAAGATGCTGTATAACGGGAATATCATGTTTGCGAAGTTCATCTGCGTTTCCCACTCCAGACAGCAGGAGGAGCTGTGGGGAGTTTATGGCTCCACCGCTGAGAATGACCTCCTTATCAGCAAACACCTGAAGTCAACGTGAGAGACATTCACGTGTTAGCAAATCACTCATCTGTTTTTATATAACATCAGCGGAAATGATTGAAAGATGAGTCCCAAATTTGCAACTGTGACATATTACGTAGGTTAATCACACAGATTACACAACCTGCCTCCTGAACATTTCTCACAGTCACAACATGATTCTGACAAAGGCTTTAGATGTAGAGAGGAGCTCATCTCATTTAGCATCCTGTCTGCTGAGGTTCCTTCATCTGGTTGGTTTTCTGTGCTATCGCACAATAGCTTTGTGAATGTTTGAAAGAATAAAAATGGCCAAAGCATTTGCTCGGTTATGTCTAATCAGACATGGCACACTCAGTTGTCATTTGCACTCAACTGTATTATGTTAAATGAAATTACATTTGTAAAGTGTTAAGTTAGCTTAAATCATTTGTCTTAGGGCTACATGAATCATTTATGTTGCATTGACTGAAACTGGGCAGTGGATTTCTAGTTCCCAGCATGCTTTGCATAGGGATAGATCAGGAGACTAAATGTGGAAATTAAGTGCTGTTTAATTAGTAAAGGGAAAGACCTATTAAAGTTTGTTGTTCAGTTATATTTGACATTTGAAAGAGTTTATTATATCGTTTATTTTATTTATTTATTTATTTTTTTTTTGAGGTTACCATTATGCTGAAGTGTAGACCTTGTGGTTGGTTAGCTACATGAGCTAAAACTATGTTGCTCTCAATGAGCTGTAATTGTTGTTATGAGCCTAAGGCCCCGTCCACACGGAGACGCGTTTAGCTGTATACGCATACATTTTGTATCATATAGGCGTTTCATCCACACGGATCCGGCATTTTGGGAGAGTGAAACCGCTATTTTTTGAAACCGGGTGCCAGAGTGGATAAATCTGAAAACGTCGCCCTTGCGTTTTCATGTGGACAGCCAATCCGTATATTTTCTGAAACAATGACGTCATCAGCCCACGTCTCGGCCCTAGTCAGACACCGCTACATCACGTAACAGCAACAAAAACATGAACAAACACTGAACGATTGTCTTTTTAATAACTAACATTAACACAGATTAATAAATGTACTGTTCCATGTTCGTTTTGTATACCGCGCGCAAGGTTTATGCGCATAGTCCAAGTCTTCTTCTCCATTTTTAGTGTATCTCTGTGGCAGAATTACAGCGCCACATGCTGGTCTGGCATGTATACTACATCGTTTTGTGTCGGTTTCGTGTGGATGCAGATATTTCTTGAGACGAAGGAAAAAAAAAGATCGGATAGGGAAAGCTCAAGTCATTTGTTCGTTGTTTTCATTCTGCCCTCTTGTGTTCTCTCCGTGTATGTGTATGTTTGTTATAACAAATTATTCCGAATTTTTAATGCATTTTAAGAATACTTTTCCCATCAACTGGTCCCAATGCACAACCCCGCTGTATGCTGCGTCAAAGACGCGTGTGCGCTCTGATGTAAACAAGCACGGATAAGAAGCACATGGGGGAGCTCGAGAGAGACGCTCTGGATAAAGCACACATTCACTCTCTGACAGCAGATGGCGCTGAACAGCAGAAATGCAGCCGTAACCCCGGAAACCGTGTAAATAAACCAGCTGCCCTACTTTCTGTTTCTAAAATGTGTTTAAATTAATAAAATAGTCATTCAGATGTTTTTATTCACTATGGTGTTCATCACAGCACCAAATACTTAAATATTTAGACTTAATAGGCTATTTTCAAACTTTTTTTACATTTTAATCTGGACTACAACATGCCCTGGATATTGTTTGAAAGTGTTTTGATTCTTTATTGTTCGGTCACACTTTACATTAGGGCTTCATTAGTTAACATTAGTAAGCACACATTCACTCTCTGACAGCAGATGGCGCTGAACAGCAGAAATGCAGCCGTTACCCTGGAAACCGTGTAAATAAACCAGCTGCCCTACTTTCTGTTTCTAAAATGTGTTTAAATTAATAAAATAGTCATTCAGATGTTTTTATTCACTATGGTGTTCATCACAGCACCAAATACTTAAATATTTAGACTTAATAGGCTATTTTCAAACTTTTTTTACATTTTAATCTGGACTACAACATGTATAATAACACGTTAAAATCAAAAGTTGCAACTGTGTTATTTAATGAGCTAACATGAACTAAGAGTTGTATTTTTAAACAAAGATGAATAACTTCTGTAGCAAATGTAGCTATTGCTCATTGTGAACATTAATGCATTAACTAAGTTTAACTAATGAGATCTTATTGTAAAGTGATACCTGTCTTTATAATTCTTTTGCACTTTAATTAAAAATTGTAAAAAACATTGTGTATTGTTTTATTGTATTTAAATGTTCAGTTATTTTTGTTATAAGAAAAAAGCTATTAAACCTGTTATACTGTATTATGACAACACTTTTTTTGCAACTAAATTTCAATATCGTGACAATACCGTATACCGTGATAAATGCATTAGCAATTAATCACAACATGAAAAGTTGATATCCCTAATGATGATTTATATTATGATTAATTTGTGATTAATGTTTTCTAAACACGGCCCAGTTTGACGCAGGATTTGCACATCGTTTGATACTGAAATACAGAGCAGTCCTAGCTATAAAAGATCCCGGTCATGATTCAGAACTGCAGAGGGTAAGTGAAACGGCATCAAATGTCTGTGTTTTGTTGGCAATTGTCGCTCAAGTGCTCGTCACTCTTTACCTCCGCCCACAGCACGCCTCCAGGAGCTCGGCTGTTTTTGGAGAGAATCGTAAAGCTGTATCTTTGTTTTATAAATATAAAACTAAAGACTCTTTAGAGATATGAAGGATGCAATACTACTCTATAAAGATTAACATGAGATTGGGTGAAACTGTGTGTTATGTCCCCTTTAAGTGCAGTGTAAAAATAAAATACTAATGCCAGTGAGTTCATTTTTTGACCTTTTTCGTCTGTCCATCCTGCTGGTACTCCACCCCTCTTGCTTGCGTCCCATCAAACAGAATACGGGTCACCATGCAGCGCACTTCTGTTCTCAGATTGGGTCTGGACAGCGCAGGCCGGAGGTAAGCACTAGCTGTGCTCCATCGTTTACCTGTGTGAGAGAAAGAGAGAAGGTGACTTTGAATTTGGTCATTACAGATTCAACCAAAGAATTACACTATCACTAATGCTTATACAAAATATTAAACTGTTACAGACATGAATGATTCCTCAGATCATAAGAGGCGAGATGTGTGCTGTTACTTGACTAAGTGACCAGACTTTTATTCAGATGCTAAAATGAGTCTGCAAACCACACAGATTTGCATTACGATGAATGCCTTAATTCAAGATAGGGCTGGGCGATATGACAAAAAGATTATCATTATATTTTTTTCTTCATATCATACGGTATTGATATTTATCACAATATTCATTTACCATTAATGGGGAAGAAAATGCTTTCCACAAGTTTGTTAGACCTTGAGAACAAACGTAAACATAACTTGTTAGTTCACAATTAAAATCCATTTTATTTTTTCTGGATTCTGTTTTTTATCATTTAATACAAATTTATCATCACAAATGGTGTTGTTTTGAAATAGAAAAGAATGAATAAAACTTTTAGCCAATTTAATTTAATCAATCTAAATTTAACCAATTTAGATTTAATCAATCTTTTAAAATGCAATAAAAATGAAAATATAACAATTAATTTACTACAAAACACTGCATTTTTATTTTTTGTCAGATAAAAAAAAATCTTGGTTGTAGTAGTGCTGTCAAACGATTAATCGCATCCAAAATAAGAGTTTTTGTTTATATATAATACAATATATGTGTGTGTACTGTGTACATTTATTATGCATATATAAATACACACACATACAGTATATATTTTGAAAATATTTTCATGCATTTACATGTATATATTTATATTCATATAATTTATATTATTATATATACTGTACATATATTTAATATATGAACAATTTTTTTCCTTAAATATATGCATGCATGTGTGTGTATTTATATATACATAATAAACATACACAACACACACACACACACATATATATTATGTAAACAAAAACCTTTATTTTGGATGCGATTAATCGCGATTAATCGTTTGACAGCACTAGCTGTATGATATTTCCTTGATAACAACATTATTACATTTAGAATTTAGATAGTAATTAACAGTAATACAATAGTAATATATTTCTGTAATAATTTCTTCAAGTTAGACTGGACTTTTATTTTGTCGTTTTGAAGAACCGCACCATTAATTGATACGCCTTTATTTCTGCTGTTAGATTAATCCAAAACAAGTAAAAATTTCCAGATCTTATCATCGTCACTAATTTTACCGTGACCTCAATATGATATTGTTTATCGCCCAGCCCTAATTTAATTTCCTAACGTTCACCTCTGTGGATGGTCATATCCATCCAGCCCACTCCTTCCTGCTGGAATCCGTTCATGTCATCCGTGAAGGGGTATCCGGCCTGCTGGCCCGCTTCGATGAATGTGTGGTGCAGAGGGTGACTGGTTTTTCCTCGCGTCACATGCAGTGGGCCGTCATCCCCTCGGTATCGGTCTGCTCCCAGCTCATGTGTCTGGGCCTTGCGGAAGTACGGAAGACAGTGATCGTAGCCCCAGCCCTCGGCCCCCTCGCTCTGCCAGCGGTTGTAGTCCTCGGCGTGCCCCCGAATGTACACCATGGCATTGAGCGATGACGATCCGCCCCAGACGCGGCCACGAGGCCAGTACATCACCCTGCCGTCCATGTGTGCTTGAGGTAGCGTGTGGTAAAACCAGTTGTACTTGTCGTCACAGAGGTTATAGGTCAGAGCAGCCGGCATGTGAATCTTCCAGGACAGACGGGTGCTTCCCAGCTGCTTGTCTTTGGGTCCTGCCTCCAGAAGGAGCACCGAATCGGAGGCGTTCTCTGACAGACGGTTGGCCAGCACGCAGCCTGCAGATCCAGCCCCGACTATCACATAGCTGTAGGACGCTGTGCTCTTATTTACTGCAGTACTGCTGTGCCTGGGTTGCTGCAGCAGTGGGCATGAGTTTGGCAAGCGTTGCACACCGATGTACCTGCAAAGGCTTGACGTGAGCCTCACAGACGATGAGAAGCACAGCATACTGATGGAGATCTCCGCTTTCTAAGTGCTGCACTGATGATCAGCGGGGGCTTTGAGGAAACACACACAGAGAACACTGGATTAAACACTCAGTACATTAAATTCATAATGCTTGATGCTGGGTTACCACACTTTCCTCTCAGGATTAGGATTTATTGAAAAGTACAGTGCATTCAGAAAGTATTCAGACCCCCTTCGCTTTTTTCGATTTTATGGTGCAGCCTGATACTACAATTGTTTAAATTCATTTTTGCTCATTAGTCTACACTCCATGCCTCATAATGACATCATGAAAATTTTTGAAATGTCTGTAAATTTATTAAAAAGAAAAAACTGAAATATCACATTTACATATGTATTCAGACCCTTTGCAACAACACTTGAAATTTTGCTCAGGTGCCTCCAATTTCTCTTGATCACTGCTGAGATGTTTGGGTCAATCACTCCTTGATTGGAGTCCACCTGTCGTAAATTAAATTGATTGGACATTTGGAAAGGCACACACCTGTCTATAAAAGGCCTCACAGCTGACAATGCATATCAGAGCGAAAACCAAGCCATGAGGTCAAAGGAACTGCCTGCAGAGCTCAGAGACAGGACTGTATCGAGGCACAGATCTGGGGAAGTCTACAAAAAAAAATCTGCTGCACTGAAGGTTCCCAAGAGCACAGTGGCTTCCATAACTCTCAAATGGAAGAAGTTTGGCACAACCAGGACTCTTCCTAGAGCTGGCCTCCTGGCCAAACTGAGCTATTGATGGAGAAGGGCCTTGTCTAGACTGGTGACCAAGAACCTGATGGGCACTCTATTTGAGCTCCATGATCATATATGCAGATGGGAGAAACCTACAGAAGGACAAACATCACAGCAACACTCCACCAGTCTGGGCTTTATGGCAGTGTGTCCAAACTCTCCTCAGTGAAGACACATGAAAATACACTTGGAATTTGCAAAACAGCACCCAAAGGGTCCAGACTCTGAGAAACGAGATTTTCTGGTCTGATGAACCTCAGTTCTAAGCATCATGTTTGAAGGAAACCCACTCTGCTCATCATCTGCAGAGTACCATCCCAAAAGTAAAGTGTGCTGGTAGCAGCCTCATGCTGTGTAGGGTTGGGTATCAACTCCGAGAACTAATAAGGCAAGAATGGATCGCCATCAGTCAGGATTTGGCCCAGAAGCTAATGTCCAGCATGCCAGAGAGAATTGCAGAGGTTAGGAAGAACAAAGGTCAACACTGTAAATATTGACTCATTATATATTTTTTTCCAATAAAAGCCTTTAAAACTTATATGCATATCGTTTTTCAGTATACCATAAAAACATGTGGAAGAATAATCTAAAAATACGGAAGCAGCAAACTTTGCAAAACACAAAATTTATGTCACTGCCAAAACTTTTGGCCATGACTGTATGTGTGAAAGGCACTATTGTGTAATTTTACTGGGGAAAAAAATGCTTTAATAAAACGTATGGTTATTATTACTTTTATAAGTAATGGTGAAATGCTTGTGCTGCTACATACATATGTATGTAGTACATACTTAAGACTTCATGGAGCTCACGAACAGAATATTTTGCTAAATCACAGTGAATAACAAGAGGAATAATCCAGAACCGACTATATTGCCTCTGTACTCTTGTACTCTGTACTCTTTGGTGTTGTTTGATAAAAACCAATAGTGATTACAAAACTCTGCCAATCGGATCAAACATTTGTGTTTGTATGAACTAGGGGTGACCCCGAGTAGTCGAAGATTTGATGCTTCAATAGGAGGAGCCTGATTCGATACCAATCTCACAGTCGAATATTCGCGCCATTATTATCATGCCATTTTGGCTATATGGGGGTGCTCAAATGTCTGATTTCACATAGAACTACTGGTTTTCTCCCAATGTTAATATACAGTCTATTAAAATAATGCTGTAAATAAGAATCTGAAAAGAAATAAATATTTTAACGTGCGTGAATAAATCCAACCACCCCTATAGATTTAAGATTTACTTTCCATGATCTGTGACCGACAGAGGAGCATCTTGGAGGCAGGGATTTAAAATTTTAATAAGACTCAAATTGACACAGGCAGAGTGAAAGACTGGATTTTTCGATTAGGTAGGGTACAAGTGATTTCAAAACATTTCAGTCGATTTATATGTATCGTGTATATATTATTTGTCTCATATAAGATGCATTTGGTTGAGTTGCGCTGCAGTAAAGCGCTTCATTGTACGGTGTTTATCACTTCAGCGCGCAACGCGAGCAGGACAAACAACAATGCATAATATTAATAACTATAACTGGGACTGTCATATACATAACATTATAATGAGAACACTATTATAATAAAACGCTGTGAATTTTTAGTTTAGCTGCCGTGTTTCTGCACGTTGTTGCATGAAGAACGCATCCACAAAAGGAGTTCATTCAGAGCCGCATAGACACGTTCATGTGCATTCGGGGCATTTTGTGCAGACAGCCTATAAGTCATAATATTAATGTTATGTTGTATAAATAATGAAGCATATTCTATATGAGATAAATGATGAGTTAAATCCCATTGATTAAAAACCTGCTGCTTCATTCTACTGGTCATCTTCATCGCGCGCAGCTCAAAACAGAAATGCTGAACATTAAAAAATACTGTCATATACATAACGTTATAATGAGAGCACTATTGTAAAAAAATGTTGTGAATTTTGCAGTCGTTTAATGTTAACTATCTTTTAATCAAAACATAAAACATTATTTACCGTTTGTATCTGCGAGGCGTCCGTTACACATTTACCTGTGTGTTACAGTAATTATGACTGTTGAATGTCTGATTTGACTCTTGGTAATGTATTTTGCCCCGCTCCCAAACATATGATTCGACTATCAGTCGAATATCGGCAAGATTCGAAAATTCCGATTCGACTATGAAAATCCTTAGTCGGGGACACCCCTAGTATGAACAGGAACTAAAATGGATGTTTTATTGTAACATGATTATATGTAATAATAATAATAATAGGGTACAACGGGGCTAAAGGCGCCTTTGATATTATTTTCATCTAAACCACTAGATGGCACAAAAACGTGGCGTAGCACTTTCCAAAACATCCGCTTATCTTTTTTTAAATGTCACATTGTCAATGAAACAACCTAATTTCTGTAGTTTATTTTTGTGATGTATGTTCAAAATGAAATGAATAAGTTGTATACATTATTCATTTTTGTAGTGTAATTTATTTGTAAATGAGCCTGAGTACTTTCTGTACATTTTGTATTTTTGTTTTGCATATTCACATGTATAAATAAGAGAGAAGTAGTTATGTACATTGTTAATTTTTTGTCCTGTAAATATATTTTTTTACACATTTAAACAAATAGTTCTATACATTACTGAAAGTACTTTTTGCAACTATTTACAACATAGCTTGGGTTTAACATCAGAAAAACAACATCAGTTTTGAGCCCAGCCCTGCCTCCATGTGTTCTGGGGTCTTCAGGAGGTGAATCTCTTGGTGAATGGCCAGCAAGTGATTCTGGGATATGGTAGGGTGAGAAGTGTCCATCAGATGTACACTTCATTTTCCTGGGAAACGAAGGGTGCATTTGAAGTCGCTTTCGAAATATGTCAGCATTCGTCGCACCGCGGTGACTCCATCAGCCTTGGAATGCGGTCTTTGGAGGGTGCATTCTGAATTGGGACAGCTTACGTCGTGACGCTGTGACGCAATCGCACTTCAAATGCGCACTTCGGAGACCACGCACTTCAGTTTGGGACACAGCTAACAAGTGCCTTATGAGCGAGTGATTGATTGATTCATTCAACTACTACAACCACTAAGTCAAATAATGAGAAAGAACCAAATCGCCTATCACAGCTATGCTGATGATACCCAGATTTACCTAGCCTGTTCACTGAATATAAACCTAACAGACCACTCAGATCATTAGGATCGAGTCAGTTAGAAATACCAAGGGTTCACACAAAACAAGGGGAGTCTGCTTTTAGTTATTATGCCGCCCGCAGTTGGAATCAGCTTCCAGAAGAGATCAGATGTGCTAAAACATTAGCCACATTCAAATCCAGACTAAAAACTCATCTGTTTAGCTGTGCATTTATTGAATGAGCACTGTGCGATGTCCGAACTGATTGCACTGTATTTTATGTATAATCATTTTCTATTTTTAACCGTCTTAAATTAATTTTAAATCAATTTTTAAATCATCTTCAAAGTTTTTAAATTCCTTGTTTTATTTTTGTTTTTATTATTTTACTTTCTTTTATGTAAAGCACTTTGAATTACCATTGTGTACGAAATGTGCTATATAAATAAACTTGCCTTGCCTTGCCTTGATTCATTCAAATGCAGTAATTCATTCAGGAACAAACAGTGTTGGGAGTAGCTAGCTACAATTAGCGACGCTACTAGCGTAACTACATTTTTCCGTAGCATGACGGTAGCTCCGCTACTTTTAAAACAGTGTAGCTTTTCTGGTAGCCAACTATTTTTTCCAGCAAGTAGCGGTGTAGCGCGACCAAACGCTACATTCTGTTTTGCGTTCTGACGAGTCACGAGCCTGTAATGCATTGAAGCAGCAGCGCCTACTTCTGACTAGATCACAAACTACATTTGTTCATTACCGCCATCTGTGGTGATATCATGCATCTCGCGGCTTCACAGTCTTTCCACCGACAAGAGATCGTCTGATGATATTGCAAAGGATGTACAGGAGTGGATATTTCACATAAATCAACTGTAATTTATGCAAAACGCAAAAGAATTAAAGCACATACAGGAGGTGAATAACAGCCTTTTTAAACTAATTAATTCTCCTGCTTTATTGCACTCTAGATCAAATGCCTATTTTACAATGATGAACCATCATAATACAATCTGCCCCCCACAGTTTTGTAGTGAACACTAATCGAACAGAAAATGAAATTGTGATGTGTACTCACACTAGGCCCGGTTGCCTTGAACCGAGCCCGAGTGCGATTATCCCCCCTCCCCACTCCCCCGCTAGCCTACACTCACACTTGCACTAAACATTCCAGGCCGGAGCACGCTTACGTCATGTATGAGATAATGGAGAAAACCACTTTCGCTAATATTCTGCCGAATAATTAATAATAATTAATTTATCATTTATGCCGTGCATTGATTTTCACTTGTATGTATCAGAAAATTATTACGGAGGCAGCTGAGGTTAATGAAATAATTTGCAGCTTTACTCGCAAACTACATTTCCTGTTCATCAATAAGGTAAGAGCCATTATAAACCTAAATATACTTGATTAAATTAAATTAATTGAAAAGTGTAGTGTAGTAGTAGTAATAGAATATATTTGCGGCGGTCGTAATGATGACAGTTGCGCACACAAAATAGTATCTGTTCTGTGCTCCGGCGCGGTTAGCGTGGGGTACGTGAGATGATGGTGAGGGGTACGCGAACAAAATTCTGAGTTTTGGCATTCATTTCATACCCTTAAAGCAACATTAAAACCGAACGTATTTCTGACAAGCAAAATGCCGCTTCTAATGTAAAAACAGGAAAATGGGGCTCCCGTAAACGGTCAAATACATGATATCCAATCAGCTTACCTCATTTTTTGCAGTCAAAACTGACTGCATCCACACAAGTAGCGTGCATGTGATAGGATGCCCGCTGAATATGCTGCTATGCTGCTTTCACGCTGCTTTTTAATGTATCTTTAAAGTAGATCTTCACTTAATAGCATGAAGAGCAAATAGCAAATCATTTTAATGTATCTTTAAAGTAGATCTTCACTTAATAGCATGAAGAGCAAATATTGACACGTGACACGCAATGAGATCGATTTAAACTCTCTTCGACACAAACACACCCTGTGCGAGTTATTGTTTTCATGTTTAAAATACGAGCAAGAATGCAAATTTCCCTGAATATCCAAACAATTTGAACAGAATATTGTCATGTTGTTGTCATGTTTTGCAACGAAATAATAGTTCCAACGAAATCTGTATCATCAGGAGTGCGTCTCCAAGCACTCCAAGCATGTGTTTCGTTAGTGAACGAATCTGCGGCTTTGAACGATTTGGAGAGTCAGTGATTAATAACCCATTCATAACTAGCATTTTGCTTCTTTACTGAATGAATGAATGACGCGACGCCTGGCTCATTAAGACAGC